ATAGATAGATAGATAGATAGATAGATAGATAGATAGATAGATAGATAGATAGATAGATAGATAGATAGATAGATAGATAGATAGATAGATGATAAATAGATGAGAGGGGGGGGAGAGAGATCAGATACTGATAAATTAGGACTGAAGGAAAACAGAATCATTTTCAGAATGATACACCCCTTGCTCACAACAGTCTAGTGAAAAGCCTCTATTAATATTGCCATTTCTGCTTAAAGAAAAAGAAAATGCATTTGCAATCTCATTCAGTGAAAATAATTACTACATCATATAATCATTTCGGATTAATCTCATTTGCTATTATTCAATTTAAATATATTGTGATTTAACATGGAAAGAGTTATCTACAAAAAAACCCATTAAAAACTTACAAATACAGTGACTGCGTGATGGATCCAACATAGTACCAGGCTTACAAGTACAGATGAAGCTGCCTCGGGTGTTCATGCATTCTGCATTTTTACATATGCCTTGAATTGTACATTCATTAATATCTACAAGTAATAAGAACAAATGAAGTTAACCAGGTTTCAGTTATCCTAAAATCATGGAATCAAAAAAATTATACACTTGTAATGACCATGAGGATCACCTTGTCCAATCCCCTACAATGTGAAAGAAAAATTTAATAAAGCATCCATGAAATATAGTTTTTATAACCTTTTCTTATAATCTCTAAAAATTGAGAACCTACAAACTCCATACGTATGCTTTCCATGGTTGTACAGATCTCATCATCAGAATAGGGTTTTTTTTTGTTTATATCTAAATAAAATCTAAATACCTGCAAAATACTTTATGAATCAATGCAAACAAGTTATATAACCAATGTTCTAAGGCGGCACCTAAAATATTTCTAACAAAAAGGGAAGAAAAATCCATTCAATCTTCAGCATGTCCCAAACGTACAATTATCTAAAAGAAAGTCTTTTTGTGATAGCAAGAAAGAATGAACAATATAGACTACGCAAATATGTTTTTATTGGACAATACAATTGTCAGACCTGGTAGCCATCTTTTACTTTTTGGATTTCAGCTCTGTCACATTTTCTACTGTGGGAAAATCAGAGGGGGAATATACAGAGTGTGGGTGATATGCAGCCATAACAACATTCATTCTCAGAAAATCAAGGTCGACTGGTCCTGCAGCTGTAATGAGATGACTGGGAGGTAACTCCTGGCTTGGATGATACCTGATTGGATCATGTGATGGAGATGTGGGGAGGGTCTTGAACTTTCACTTGGGTGGGGAAAACCAGGAAACTTTCAGATTCGGGTTTTCCCAGATGTGCCAATATGACACTGATGGCTTACCTTTTTGCCATCACGTACCAAAAGCGGGGGAGCATGCCCTCCCTCCACGCACGCATGTGCAACACCCCTTTTGTCCTCCCCCTCCCTGCTTTTGGCACGTGATGGCACAGTGGACCTGTTTTTCGCCCTCCCCAGGCTCCGAAGGATTTCTAGGAGCCTGGGGAGGGTGAAAATGACATCCCTGTCCCCTCCTGCAGGCCCTCTGAAGGCCAGAAATGGCCTGTTTTCTAACTTCCGGGTTGCCCGTAAGGTAGAAAAACAGCCCTACGGGCAACCCTGAATTCAGGAACCCATAAGTTCAGGGAAGCCCCCAGAGGGCCAAAAACAGGCGAAAATGAAGGCTGAAATCATCTGGCCAGCATGTGCATGCACAGCTGGAGCTGACAGGACAACACCTCACGTGCCCTAAGAAATAGTTCCGCGTGCCACTTGTGTCACACGTGCCATAGATTCATCATCATGGCAATATGACATCTCTAATAAAATGGAACTTTGAGGAAATTCAAACCTTTGAGTCTTTCATTAGGGTTGTTATTTGGAACCCTGACAATTTATTCAATTAGAAGATGCAAGACACAAGATGGATAGGATACTAGAGAGTGCTATTTGAATACATGATTGAATAAATTGACTTTTTGTACAATTAAAGTAACTGGAAATTGGCAAAAAAATAATAATGATAATGGTAATGATAATATCCCCCACCTCCAAAGGAACAATACCTCATTACAGTGGAGTCTGTATGCTCTAAGGATGCTAAGGGCTGTGTGAACAGGTGCAACTATGTCAGAAAGGTCTTAGCTGAAGACTTAGGCTAAATTTGTTTGGAAAACACCCCATTCAATATAGTGAAAATACATAATTGAAATTTCATATCAGATTGGCTGTCACCTTGATTAACAAATTTCATATTGGATGTTCTGAAAAATTACTGAAATTTACTGAAAAATACGTGATAGGACTCAGCTTCCTATGCTAGGCAACCAGGGCTACTGAAGGCAATCAAAAGCAAGGAATTTGGTCAAAGAGAAAATACTTAAATGTTTCTACCAACTGAAAGCATCAAAATGAATATAAAAGCAAATGTACCAGTTTTGGAAAGAAAGACATACAGATTAAAAATTAATAAACAGAAACTTATGGAACAAAGACGTGTAATTTTAAAACACACGTTCTTTATCAATGCTGAATTGGAAGCAATTGAAAAGCAAGGAATTCAAAATTTAGTGTATTCAGAACTGCCAATAACTCCTTTTTAGGACCCTGTAATTCCTTAATTCAAGACAGAGTCAGGGAGACTGGATGGAGCTAAGTGTTTACTGCCTGGATGCCCTTCCCAATGCCACACAGAATTCACAGCAGCTATTTTTTTTTCTTTGTGCTTAGGATAGAAGCATCTGCCACTACCTAGGATTAAACTCTCAACCTTCCAAGTGGGAGGTGAGCATCTTTACCACTAGGCCACCACATCGCTCTATTCAGAACTACCAATAATGATATCAATTTGCAGAGTGAGCAGCAAACAGTAGATAGTGAAGAGACTATTGGTGTTAATGAAAAACAATGAGAAGAAGATGTTAAAGAACTACAAGCACTATGGATTCAACCAAACACTCAGAATAGAGCTAGAAGGGACCTTGAAGGTCTTTTAGTCCAATCCCCTGCTCAAGCAGGAGACCTAACTCAACCCATCCTGGCCATTTCACAGCCAATCTACCTTTGGATATTTTCCTGAGTCTAGTAATAAGACAAGGATGGCTGTCTGTTAGAAGATCATTGACCAAATGCTCTCCAGAAACCACCTTTCAACAAGGGTAAACCCTGGTGGACTTCCTTAGCAAAGTCTGCTTCTGCCATTAAAATTCCTCCAACAGTATTCTTCCAGAGCATTGTAAGACATTTAACAGATAGTTCTGTGATAAAATTGCCTAACCCAGGGAGGACACATGCCGATTCTAGGCTAATAATCCAAGATAAAACATTTCCATTTTGGTCATTGCTCCCTTCCAATGTAATAGGCATTTCCTTGTTCTGAAAGCAAGTGCAGTGCAAGAATACATGTCATTGATATAGTCAATATAGAAAGACATACTACTAAGAAATCTGGGAGCTGTATTCCCCATACTTTTGGAGAACATCAATTTGGAAAAGGCTAACAGCATGGACCATCATAATCTGATACTGTACCAAAGCTATATTATTTCTCTATTCTAAAATAAACCAATCCACTTGTCAAATTGGCTCAACACCATGGTTACAAAGAGCACTTACAACAAATGCTTAAAAAGATGTTGTGTAGTGTGCATTTCTTCATTGAACAAAATAAGAACTGAAATATATAGATTTATCCTGGAGGAATCCTGGTCTAATGGTTGCTTCAGGTTTATTTTAGTTCAGAATACTTTCTAGGTTAAAAGTTATTTGCCCTGTCAACAATGACAGAAACTACCACCTCAGTATATTTTTAGTCATAAATGGATCAGTAATAATAATTTGTTACTGATAAATCTAGGAATGAAAACGGTTATTGCTTCTGATATTGAGAATTGAGTTAAAATATTTTAACAGACCTAATGAGTCTGGAGAAAAGGTTTCCTTTACTTTAAGAGTCGCATTAATTTTAATGAGCTAATTCCATAAAGCAGATGTTTCTTTTTTCAGGCTCACAAAAAGTCTGAAAGAAGCCAGATGCTATGCTCTCACTTCAGTGAGGTCCAAAGTATTTACTCCAAACCATTTTTGAAACCTGTACAACTCCATTGTTTAGCCAGTGTAAATATAGTTATTGAATTAACATGCACCTGGCCACACTGTGACTGGCATATTTCAAGATTATGTTTTCAAAGTACTTGCTTTATATACTTACAGTAGTAAAGCAAAAAGATGTTTGAAAAATTTTGTTGATAAGCATCTCTGAATCTTAAAATGGCCATCTGTGCATAGATTAGACCACAACATCCTACATATTAAATGTAAGTACAGCAAAGTATGGTTTCCTCTACATTAGCATTTTAATATTGTGATGTTTGCCTCACTCATGTTGTAAAAAATTCACTCACTAAAAAGATATAAAATCCCATCCATTTTACTCTTTGTATTTATCATGGCTTGGGACCAGGTTATCTGAGGAACCATCTCTTGCCGGTCACATCTACCTGACCCATCAGAGAGGGGAGGCAGGGAATGTTGCAGATCCCATCCCCAAAGGAGATACACCTGGTGGCCTTCTGCATGGTGGTTCCCTCTCTCTGGAACATCATTCCCCAGAGATTAGAATAGTCCCCACTCTAATATTCTTCTGGAAACCACTGAAGCGCTGGTTCTGTCAACACGTCTGGAGAACCCAGAGCGGGATGGAGACCATTAAATGGCTCATGTGATCTGCTGTCGCCGGGTTGGGAGGTGGGGGGTGATTTTCTTATATTGATTTATTTGATTCTTTTTGTTAGTTTTTATTGTTTTAAATGTGGTTTTTATTCTGTAAACTGCCTTGAGTTGCCATGGGCGAATAGGTAGCAATATAAATTCAATAAATAAATAAATAAATATCAATCTGTCCATGCGAGTTCTTTTGCCCATAGAAAATTTGTAATTATTTCCATTCATACCATCCTCTAACATATGAAGATGTCTGTTTCTTCATTTTAATTTAATTAACTATAAATTTAATTTCCTTTTTAAAAGTAAATTAGTCTGCTTTCATTATTTAAAACATTCACCTTTCTGACACAGGCTTGCTTTAATGTAAATTTTCCCAGTGTAAGCACCTTTTAAAAAAATAACTTCCAAGCTAGCAATTATTTTTCAGTAATGCATCTGTTCAGACATATACTTAATGGATTTTTGTTCAGTTAGATAGAATTTATTTCATGCTAACAAGTGCAGTGTTGTCAAATCTAGTGTACTTCCAATAAAATTCATGTGGAATTCTTTATACCCTCATCCCCAGCCTGTTATCTTGGTAATGCCTGAATTTAAATTAAAATACAATAAATACTGCACTGAATTTATTAACTTATGGAAAAATATTAGCAAATAGTGGTGTTAATATGGATCTGACCATTTTACCATAATGGTAATGGTACCTCAAACTCTCGTCATTACTTAGATTACAATACATTCTATGTGGGACTATTCAGAAAAGGTACTTGGTGCAAAATGCACCTGTTTGCATACTGGCAGGTGAGAGCCTCTTCAGCCATCTGAAATATGTATGTATTGTGAGTGTCCAATAGATTTCCAGGTATAATTCAAAGTGTTGTTTTTGACATTTAAAGTCCCATATAGCTTGGCTTCTAGGTACTGTACTTGCAGGTCTGCCTTCCCCAGGTGCAACAAACTTGGCTTCTTTTTATGATTTAGATCCATTGACCCTTGGATGTGGTGTTTCTTCACAGTGGCTCCTATCTTATGGAATAATCTTGCCCCAGAGACTAGACCTGTGCCAACTTTGAAATATGTTTAAATACTCAGATTCAGTTTCCAATCTTCTTAGCTCCTTTTACTTTTACACATAGATATACATTTGCAAAACAAAACAAAAAATGCTGTAGCCATGTTTGCCTTAGGTTATAGAAAACAACTCTTATTAAAAATATTTACAAGGAATATTATATTTGGAATACAACTGGTTGTTACATTATTAATTACAACTTATCAAACTACAGAAATGTTTATCATTATGTATATTTCACAGTTAAAACTTTAGAAGAATTTAAATCTCTTGGAAGGCAGCATTGGTCTTAACCAATAAACCAAGACCAGATTTCATGCCTGAAAGCAGCAAGTATTGACTTCAAAGCAGGAAGGTTCAAAGTTGTCAAATATCAATTGTAACTGATTTACATCGATTTAACTACAGTAGATATTTCCATTCTAGTAACTAAGGAAACTACAGTGGAGGAGATATATACGTAAGTACAGTACAGTAATCCTGGCACAAGTTCTTCATTGTTACCTGAGCAGGTCACTCCACTTGACCAGTTTTGCTAAGGAGGAAAAGTTAAGTGGCATCAGGATAGGTTAGTATTTCTATGGGAGGAACTCCAAGGCTATACACTAGGGAAGAAGGCAAAGATCAGGAAGAAGGCAGTGGACATACACTTCCAAAGCGCAGCCAGGAAAAAAAAATTATGGTTGTCAGTGTAATTAGTCACCATTGAGGATATTTTTTACCTAAATTAAAGGAGATTAGAAAGAAATGGCTGCCTACCTTGACAGTGACTCTGGTTCAGTTTTTTGTATCCTTGTGGGCACTCAACATGTCCATTTTCTATTGTTGGATAAGCTAAATGAAGAGAAAGAGAAATTGCATCACGGATGGACAATTCAGATTCCCCCTTTCACTTCTTCCTTTTCTAATAGGATACACTATTGCATTGTGTTATGCTGTGCTGTACTGCAGTTTAATCTTGTTTTTATATCTCAACTTTCCTATGGGAACTCAGAACATGTATAATATATGAATACTTCCTCTCATTTTATACACGCTCTCCAGTTACAGTCCTGTGAGATATATTGGCATAAGTAAAGAATGAAAAATAATCCAGACAATTCTGCAGTCAAGTTGGTTTCATCAATGTAATTTTAACAATGTTTACCATTAAACCCTGTTAGTTTTCTCCTAGGCATTCCTTCTACTCCAGAGAATTTATGTATAATCCACTTTATTATCTACAAGTAATTAGGTAATCAAGGAACGTCCAATCTGCAAAGTGGAATGATCTGAAAAAATCTGTTTCCTCCACAATTTGCCAATCCAGTTATTCTGATTGTTCATTTATTTTTAAAAAAAACCTCTATAATGGAAAACAGTACTAAGCATCCCGGGAAAAAGAAGGTTCATCGAATGGAAGTTATTCAGAACACACTGTATTTGGGTTCTTGGTGGATTTTTTTCAGGACAAATACATTGGTTTTATTTGTTGGCTCTTGAGATATTATAACTTAGGCAGCAATTTCATTGCATGGATATCACATTATCAACTCTTTATAATATAAAGTCCCTGGGAGTCTATGAAAATTCTTAGTCATCCAGGTCATGGATGAATGACACAGATAAGCCTCCAGGTGGCCTTAACAACTCACTAAAAGAATGCAGATGACCAGCTGTCTGCAAGGAATATAAATCCTTCCATTCACTACCATCCACTCAGAGCTGAAGAAACTTCTTGGTTGAGAAGTGAAACAACTTCAAAGAAAAACAAGAATGCCCAGTTGCCTCTTGGAAATAAGAAAAAAATATCTTTGGGACAATTCCCTGGGAAAATCATTATTTCTCCCATTCTCTCACCTACTTCACCTATTATTATTGTAAATATTCTATATCATCAGATGGCAATATTGCATGATACTTGCAATACCATTTATCATCAGCATTGTCATCATCCTGTTATTACAACCAAACATAGGAACAGTCACATATTAGAAGCAGACTATGTTGGGAAAGTAAGGAAAATGACTTTCACTGAGTTCTGCAGAGGGCACACTCAGACTTGCAACAATCTGCTATTATAGCCAATCTCAATAAAAATAGTTTTAGCCTTCCTGGTCTGGTCCACCTAAAAGGGCTGATATTATGATTGTTGGACACATTCCACTATATATTTACCTTGAACAACCACCAGAAAATGAGGTATGACTACAATGATTTATAAAGTAAATAGTTTCCAGTGCATTCAACATTACCTCACCAAAGTGCCCAACTTTATTTTGTCAGGATGAATTTCAAACATAATTTGGAGCAGCTATATATCCCATTTTCTCCAAAATAAGACCTATCCTGAAAATAAGTCCTAGCATGTTTTATATGTGCGTCTAATATAAGCCCTACCCCCAAAGTAAGCCCTACTTAAGACCCTACACAGACGGCCACACACCCATTCTATCTGGTTGCTCACAGTGCTGCAGCCAAGAGGTGAGGCAGGCAGTGGAGCTGCCCATGCGCCCCGGACCCGCTTACCTCATGGACCCCACAGCCAGGCCATCCACACCCTGACACCTGCCTCACAGCAGCAGCAGTAGCAGCAGCAGCTATGTGCAGCAGGACCCCACATAGCTGCTGGCCCACTTCTTCTGCTTGCTCACAACCACAACAGAGCAGGAGGCTGAGTAGTGTGCAGGTGCCATGGCTGTGAGGCAAGGCAAGTGTCGGGGCATGGATGGCCTGGCTGTGGAGGCCCTGAAATAAGCTGGTGCAGGGCACGCAGGGCAGCTCCACCACCACCCGCCTCACCTCAAAGTACAGCGATGGCGCATCACTCTGCCTCCTGCTCCATTGCGGTCATGAGCAAGCAGAAGAAGTGGGCCAGTGACCACATTGGTTCCTGCTGGATAGTGTTGATGGAGCCACTGCCATGAGCAAGGCAAATGTTGTGGCATGGGTGGCCAGTGCAGAGTGCATGGGGCAGTTCCACCCTGCACCTCACAGCAGTGGCACTGGCATGCCATAGGGCCCCCTGACCCACTATGAGCAAGCAGAAGAAATGAGCCTCCTGTAAATGGGGGTGACCCCCTGAAATTAAGCCCTAGTGCCTATTTTGGGGCCCAAAAGAAAATAAGGCCTAGTCTTATTTTCAGGGAAACACAGGTATATATAGTAGCTCAACAACCAAAATGCAGGAAGCAAAGGTATCAGTACTGTACAACTGTATACAGGCTTAAAAAAAGAAACTGAGCAAATGGACCAATTAAAAGTATCACTAATTTTATATTTTAAGGTATTCATTGCCCTTGAACACACTGTTGTGCGCTTCTAATCTAGAGCAATGTTCAAATTTTACCAGTACTGTGGAACTATTTCCTTCCATAAATGTATCAACAATTACTCAAAGCTGGTTCAGACAGAGTAAAGCCATTAAAACCTTGTCAGGGTGAATCTCTGGTTGTTAAAATTCCACTTAATAGCACATAATTAATCATCTGTTGGTAGCTGAGTGGTTCTCATGTTGGATGTGAACTAGGAAAGAGAAGTCACTGAAAGAAAATAAGTCAGATACTCTGACAGACATAGGCAGTGACTGGACTCATAGATACAGCCAAAAGAATTAGCATTTTTTATTCTGTATGTGTCTGCTTATATTTTTTTCCAGAAAGAGTAAATGTGTTTTAAGACTAACGGGCAGCTGAAAGATCCCTCCTTGGAAGAAAGTGGAATATCAGAATTGCCTGAAGATTTGGCTAAAATGATATAATCTTCCATGTCTTGATCTACTGTCAGAATGAAATACTTTATGCTTTGTTTTAAGTTCCAATGATCTGCAGGTGGCCAAAGACCGTAATGTCTCCTAACTTTTTGGACAACATTCTGTTTTCCCCATATCAACCCAGTGTCTTGTTATTCTGCAAGCAAACAGTGTGTCCTGATAGTTTTTCTCAGATAAAAGATCTGTCATACTATTGGGAGATCAGATGCATATATGCCCGTAGAATAAAGCTATCTTTTCTTAACCATGAACAGGAGACATGCCTTATCACAATGGACAATCAAAATGTTAAAATATTAACCAAAAATTAAAAATATTTTCTAAATGTGTAGGAAGAATATTTTTCACTAGAAAGTCAAAGTATATTATATTGGGTTTCAAGCCTCCATAAACATTTTTTAGACAACTGCACTCATCACCTACCAAGAATCTAAAGTTAATGAATTTGTTTTTTCCCTTTTAATGAATTCTTCTTTCATCTACTGACATTTACAGTGATTACAACAATCCTCTCCTTAGATTGTTCTGAATCATTCTTTTTTTACTTCCCCCAAACTGTCATGTGAATTATTTCAGATAACTAATGACCCTGCATCTCCGGTAACAATTTGATGCCTTCTCTCTCCCTCTCTCTCTCCCCCTCTCCCTCCCTCTTCCCTCCCTTTTCTCTTTCTTGCTTTGCATGACCAATTGCAAAGGAGGTTTTGAGTCTAAACCAGGCTTTTGTTTGGAATTTTTATGTGAATTCACTGTAAAAGCAAACAACCATTAAAAAGCCCTTCGTTTTAAAATGTGAAACATTAAATAATAGAATATTATGTCAACCCCAGCAGTATCCTTTACAAAGTTGTTCATGCTCTTGAGTTTCTCATTCACTGAAATAAAACAATGGATTTTTCTACTTTATAAACAGCAGAAAATATTTGTATCACAGATATAGCTAAGCCACTTAAAGAAACTTCGCAGAAAAAAAATCTTTCCATTCCTGATGCGATCCCCAGCTTAGCAAACTTGTGAACAACATAATCATTACCATATATGGCAGATCCAAAGTTCTCTGGAGTGCTCTTGATTAAAAATAGAGAATTTGGGGACATTCAGTGGACATGCAGCAGGTCTCAAAGATTCCTCCCATATTGTTCAGGAGCATCTGGATATAATTGTTAGATTAACGAAGCTGCATGTTGAAAGAGCTATATGCTTGAGATCAGTTCATCAGATGGGGTCCAATATGGTTGCTTGGGGAATTGTTTGTCATCACTTGCCCCACCAGTTCCACCACTCCCACTACAACAAATCCCCTTTTAACAAATTAGCTTGCTGTATACAAAGCATATGAGGCTAATGCTTTTTTTTTCTTTTCCTGGAAGGAAGCCGCATTTTAATGGCTTTTGATCATTCAATTGAACATTTTACCAAAATAGTGCCATTCTCGTGAAATAAAGTGCATTAAATGTTTTTTTAAAAACCACTGCTTAAAATTCACAATTGATTTAAAACTGTTTGACTACCTAGTAATTTCATGAAAGATGGTTGTGTGAACATTTGGTGAAATAGAAGTTGGCATGGATTCTTTTAGACCCATAATTCTATTACAGCATACTGTATAAATTTCTTGTTGCATAATATCAAGAGCACACTTCAAAAAATCTCTAGTGTTTGGAATGCGTTCAGCTGTTTCATTCAAACAATTACACAATTGAGAATCTACTTAAGCAATTAGAATTGTTTGGTCGCTCTTTTTTTACAATGAACAATTAGTGCAATACGTCCAACTGCACTTCACTAGAAAAGTCTCATAAGTTAAAGAAAGTCAATACAATAACGGCACATTAAATACAGAGATTTTGCTAACCCTTAGAGTAGTAAAGTCTCTTAAATCTTTAGGGATTTCTCCAAAAAGATGAGTAACCCACTCTTAAATCATGCCAAAATTCTACTTGATGGAAAATACATGCATTCTTAATTAAATGCTCTACATAAATTCCATTTCCATGAAATCAACTCTTTTTCTCATTTAAATGTGTCTTTTAACATACTCAGCTTGAGTACCCAGCCTTTGGGGTACCACTATGACATTTATTGGAAGCATTTCTTTCAGAGGCTTCAATAACTATAATTCATGCCTTTATTAGAGTTATTTTATTATTGGTTTTGTCATAGATGGGCAAGAATTTGGGGTTTCATAGCATTTTCTATTCAACCACAAAGTTTGGCATGACTACTGTAATAGTGTTCAGCATTTCTCAATGATTCTGACCTTATCTGGGCAATCTGCCAGCTATTTGCCAACTCAAATTAACTCAGTGGGAGGTTTATTCACAGAATGCATTGAATACCTTGTTCAAAACTATCCATTTCAATACACAGTATTTTTTTTCTGTTTGGGAAAATGAAACACTTTAAAAAGCTGGAATTATTTATAATTTGTCTGAAAATCTTCAAAAAAATCTAATAAAATTGACTAGAGTAATAGGAACATGCATGGGTGCTGAAATCATAAACAGACAACTGAGCATCCACAAATCACAGCTGAATTTTTGCAGTGAAATGATATGACTCAGTCAGCAGTGTGTTTTTTCAGCCCTTGGGTAATTTTAAGATAGGAATGAGAAAAGTTTGTTCCAGAAAACATTGTGCTCCCAATCATATCCTCTGTCCCGTCCAAAGCCAAAAGAAATGGGGAAAAATCAGTCTTATTCCTTCTGGTCACAGCATAGCACCACCAAATGGATTCCTGTGTTCTCAGAAAGGTTGAGAAGAGGTGTACCCTCCAAATCTTCAAATGTTGCCTATCTTATTTTCAATGTCTTCTAAGACTGAAGGAATGCTGTGGCATTGATAGCCAAATGGCAGTCTAAAACCTAGAGACATTAATAATAGCAATTTTGATAGGTATTTGTTATCCATGATGCTGCTGAAATCCTGTTCGGTCCCTAGAGGGATTGAATGGGAGAGAACAGGCTTAAATTGAATCCCAATAAGATGGAGTTAATATGAGCCATGGTAGCGTAGTGGTTAGAGTGCAGTACTGCAGGCTACAGCTGTTTGCAATTTGCTGACTGCCAGCTGCTTGCAATTTGACAGTTCAAATCTCACCAGGCTCAAGGTTGACTCAGCCTTCCATCCTTCCCAGGTGAGTGAGGACTCAGATTGTTGGGGACAATATGCTGACTCGGTAAACCACTTAGAGAGGGCTGTAAATCACTGTAAAGCGGTATATAAGTCTAAGTATATTGTCCATTGAGGTTGTCTGTCTATTCCAGAGATGTCTCATAAGCAGTTTCATAATCCCTGAAGGAACTGGTTATGACCTGGAGGTTCTTCTGAATTCATACTTCCTGCTACTACAACAGGTGAAGACCTGACCAGGAGATTCTTTCTCCAGCTTGGTTGGTGTGCCAGTATCTAGAATGGAAAGATCTTTATGTACTTGTTAGATTACTGCCACACACTCTACATGATACAGCCTTCGAAGATCGCTCAGAAGTTTCAGTTGGTTCGGCATGCAATGGTTCATGTGCTGACTGGTGTTTGTTGGTGCACCAATATTCTGGTCCATGCACTGGTTGGCAACAGACTTCTTGAGGCAATTAAAATGCTGTTGTTTGCCTATACAGCCTTATATGGCTTACTTGGCACATAGTTTTGTACAGGACTGCATTCTTCCATTGGAATCGGTCAAACCAATTTGATCTATTCAAGATAAACTATAAGGAGTGCTCCATTGTAGGGAGGTGATAGGAAGCCAAGCAATATAGTTATAGTTGGTACCATAATATTCATTGTGCTGCCTGATATCTGTCTGTCTTTCTGTCTATGTATCTGTTTCTGTATCCCTGTCACCATCCCTATCCCTATCTCTATCTCTATCCCCACTTCTATCTCTATCTTTATCACAAGGGCATTTAATTTAACACAGACATAACCTTCTTGTTTGCCTGTAATACATGTTCAGCAATTGGAAAAACAGTACAGTCCCTCAAAATGAGCATCATTAAAAAACATTCCTTGCTATTGTGACTCAACATATAAAGTACAATAATAAAATACAAAGTGTGGTGCTTGATCTCAGAGACATAGCTTATGTCTGTTTTAAGTCATTAAATGGGCATCTTCTGTGCTGGGTTCCCTTTTATTGTCTACAAAAGGCATGCTCAGAATTCACCTATCCATAACCATGGCCATTCCACTTTCTATGGTGTGGATTTAAGAGAGGATTGGATACCTGTATTAACCACCTATTACAATACTTCTCCCAAAGTCTAACAAAATATTGAAAATACTTTTTGCCTATATAACAGTCCTAATCAGTCTGTCTTTCCATTTATTTTTTATTTATTTCACTTATTTATTTAAATTCTATGCTGCCCATCTCACCAAGGCGACATTTACCAGTTGGCCTAAGTAATAGTCCAACTGGAAGGTCATGCATTTTTGAGAATAACTAAACTATCCCCTGCAATTGTTTTACATCAGGAAAAGAAAACACAGAACCAGATATCTATGTCTTTGGAATGGGATCTAGACTCAATCATGCCAATTGTTTGAAGTATTGCTATTTCCAAAGTCTCTGCCAAGAGTTCATCTAAAGCAGGCCCATAATGCATAAAGGCTGAGTATGCAACCTCCTAAGCTAATCTGCAGCCACATCTCTTAAAATGATGGGCACGTTTTTGCGGTTTCCTCTTGACTAATGTCTTTGAATTAAAAAAAACGTGATTAGCTGTGGTTTTTATGGAGGTGGTATGGAAGGATTCTTGAAAGCTCTGAGCCAGGAACTAAGTCACCTAAATTAACACTGTAGCCAAGGAAGAATCAGAAAAACTAATACATTGCATATTATTTGCCTGGATGAGAGAAAACACCAAATTCAAACAGGAATCAGTGTCCTAAAAACATCCAGATCTGCCAACTTCCTATAACAAATGTGTTTACATTAGGCATCACATTCTATTTATGTCCTTTTTAATAGATCATATTACAAAATGTCTAGTAGGGACTAGAGTCACCTTGCCCAACAAAATGCCCTCCAGGAGTCCAGGTGTGCTAGATTATATGTTGGCTGACAATTGTGGGAATTATAGTCCAACACATCTGGAGAAAATCTGGGCTAGAAAGGTTCTTCTTAGAAAAGCAGTTACCTGGTTTCACTGGGCATGGAATGCATCTGCTGAGACCCCAGAAGGCTCCCACGCTTCCACAGCAATCCTCATACCTTGCGAGACCAGGCAATGGATCAGCACACTGGAGATGAAAAAGTGTCATTAGAATCTCATCAGTCCCAGATACAAGGAACAAAGAAAATGTGAAAAAACATGGTAGAGGTAGAGGAAAGGCTCACAAAAGCATGATTTCCTGTGGAAAGTAGAGTGCATAGTAGAGATTTTGAATTTAGCAGGAACTCTTGTGAAATACACTCCTTAAGATAAGTAGGGTAGTGAAACAACACTGAGTTATTAAACAGCGTGATGTCCCATTAAAACATAAAATAGTCATAATGTAGTTATCCTGAATGCAGAGCATGGACTTTGCTCAGCTGCAATTTGAATGCTAACAGACATTCACCATACTTGGAACAAAAGTTCCAAGATTTATTAAGAAAAACATGGATAGAAAATCGTACTTTAAATTTACAATAAATTTAATAAATAAAATTGAATAATAAAGTTAAATAACTTTAAGTAATAACATTAATTTAAATTAAATTTAAAGTTAATTTAAATCACATTTCGAAAAGGAAGAAAGAAAAAGTGATGGACAGGAAATTCTATATGTATGTTAAACATAAGGTAAAGGTAAAGATTCCCCTCATATGTGCTAGTTGTTCCCGACTCTAGGGGACGATGCTCATCTCCATTTCGAAGGGGCAGCACTGTCCGAAGACGTTTCTGTGGTCATGTGGCCAGCATGACTAAATGCTGAAGGCACATGGAACGCTGTTATCTTCCTATTTTTCTATGCTTTTGAACTGCTAGGTTGGCAGAAGCTGGGACAAGTAATGGAAGCTCACTCCATTATGCGGCACTAGGGATTCAAACCACTGAACTGCCAACCTTCTGATCGACAAACTCAGCGTCTTAGCCATTGAGCCACTGCGTCCCCATGTTAAACATAGACTCATTTAATTAACAAGAGGTCAAGTAAGAGACAGACGCAGACACTCTTCCCTTTGCCCTTCGCTCGAAGGTGCAAATAGATGATATAACCCCAACATTATAGCTAAAAAAGAAACTTGATGCTGTCAGAGTCAACTATATATTTTAAGCAAGTAAATAATCTCTCATACATGAAAGTGAAAACTCATCTTTCTCTTTGTTCCTTGAAAAGTTAAGGAATTAATATTAGGTATGAGGTGTTGACCAATGGATCATGTCTTAAAAATGATATAATCAAGCAAAGCCTTTGGATAAAATAAAATAAATGTCTATTCTCAGACTGAAATATATTGCCAAGTGGGGACATATCTGTCTAGGATTTTTCATCGATTTATTCCTACCCGAAAAGGCCTCTGGATTATAGTCTTCCCCTTTAGAACTAAGCAACTGCAATCAACAAGCCAACACTGGCAGTAATCCACCCACCCACCCCAAATGGCCATGTGCCCATGGATTACATTCCCATAAATTTGGCATCAGATTAAATCTGAAGACAAAAATGCTTTCTGCTCTGGTTTTTTTTTTTTTTTTTTTTTGCTCCAGTTAAATAACTGTATAACAGAATAGGCACAATCTTTTTTCATATAATTGTTTGGCTGTTTTTTTTAAAGGGATGGAGGAAGGGAGAAAGAGGATCACATGAACAAAGTTTCCCAAGAAGCTACAAGGGAAATTAGCATAATGGTATTTGTTTCCTGAGTAAGAATTTTTCCCCCATGCATTTTATCTATGATATACTGACAACAGAATAGCTTTAAAAGGGGCAACCTTTAGACCTAGATTTCTTGAATGTATATTGGATCAGACAGAGAACAACAAAGACTTGAAGAAAATGTTTGAATTCAAGATGATTGCACTTCCAGGATCTGCCTGAATCATCTTTATTTTCTTTATTAATGAAAAGAGCTGTACTGCTTCAAGATATTCGCAGTACTGAATCTACTAAATTAGCTTCCTACTCTGCATTCAAAATCTCCAGGGGAAACAGAATGCACCTGTCTCAAACTTAAGACATTTCAATGTCATATGAAGAACGGTTGCAGGAACTGGGTATGTCTAGTTTAATGAAAAGAAGCACTAGGGGAGACATGATAGCAGTGTTCCAATATCTCAGGGATTGCCACAAAGAAGAGGGAGTCAAACTATTCTCCAGGGCACCTGAGAGTAGAACAAGAAGCAATGTGTGGAAACTAATCAAGGAGAGAAACAACTTAGAACTGAGGAGAAATTTCCTGAGTTAGAACAATTAATCAGTGGAACAGCTTGCCTCCAGAAGTTGTGAATGCCCTAACACTGGAAGTCTTTAAGACGTTGGATAGCCATTTGTCTGAAACGGTATAGGGTTTCCTGCCTAGGCAGAAGGTTGGACTAGAAGACCTCCAAGGTTCTTTCCAACTCTGCTATTGTATTGTATTGTATTGTATTGTATTGTATTGTATTGTATTGTATTGTATTGTATTGTATTGTATTGTATTGTATTGTATTGTATTGTATTGTATTGTATTATCAAACAAGAGTGCAAGAAGTTGCAATGTGGATGCTCCTCAAAAGGCAGCAATACATTACTGCCCTTCTATGGTTTCTCCAATTCAAGCTACCACTTTGTGCTATAGTAATGTACAAATGAAAGCAATTACAGCATACCATCATGGTTTTAAGTTGCTGTTGCATTGCGAAAAAAAATCGTTTTTATCTTGTAGGAAGTTAGCACTCGCCCCTCTCCTAGGAAAATGGGATATTTTAGTAAATATTAAAAGGGAAGAATATTTACCCCTAAAAGGGAGGCAGAAACTCAGTCCCACCCCCTTTATCAATGGGCATTAAGGCCTGAATCAGTCTATTCTTCATAACAAAGATCTACCTCCTTCAGGCAGAGTCATAATAGGAATTGCCAAAAAGCCCCTTCATGACATCATCACCCAGCAATGCTCAACCAAGCCTGGGACCCAGACAACCTACAAAGTTACCCCTGCATGGCCACATGGGAATCAGACAACCAATCAGAATACAAGCTTAATTTCAAAGCCCAGAGAGGGCATAAAACCCAGGCACTCCCAGTATCTCTTCCCTTTTTGCCCAGGGCCTCAAACCATGTGGTCCTGTTCATCATTAAACCATCTTTCCAAGCAGTCTCCATGTTTCCAGTGTCTTTCTTCCCACTTGGAACCGAACCCAACTGGACATTTCTTCCAACAATCTAATTGGTGATCATTTCATTTTAAAAAATGAATCAATAGATAGATCCCTTCCAGACCTACAATCCAATAATTCGATGCAAGGCTTTTTTCTACACCAGTGTTGACACTCTGGGTTTTCCTTTATTTGACAGTGATTCCTGTCTTCTCAGATGGGGAAAATAAATCATTTCCAGCCTGGGGCACCCTAGGCAAAACCAGTCCTTGGTTCATTTCTTCAGCTGGGAAACACACAACTAGTATTTTTCTTCTCTTCTTTAATGCCTCCATCACATGAAGCTCTTCTATCCTTTACAACTGGCTCTGTGTTACTGAGAAATTACAGTAAAACAAACGTAAAAAACAATTTCCTAATTTTTTATTTTTTAAAAAAAATCTTTGCCCATGTAGATTCATAGCCAAGGTGGCGCAGTGGGTAGAGTGCAGTACTGCAGGCCACTTCAGCTGACTGCTAGTTCAGCAGTTCAGCAGTTCTAATCTCACCGGCTCAGGGTTGACTCAGCCTTCCATCCTTCCGAGGTGGGTAAAATGAGGACCCAGATTGTTGTTGGGGGCAATATGCTGACTCTGTAAACCGCTTAGAGAGGGCTGAAAGCCCTATGAAGCGGTATATAAGTCTAACTGCTATTGCTATTGCTATATTTTAATATGCTTAAATGACAGCATTTTCAAGTATTTGCGCCTATTGCCTTGATTACACATTGATTTACTGAAGCATTAACACCACTTTTTAATAGAATATATTTTTAAAAAATAAAACATGAGCATTTCTAACATTTTACATGCCCAGCTAAGCATGCTCAATTGATGAAACTAAATTGTTTTTCTTTATTCTGAATCACCTAATATTCTCTCTCTATTTAAACTCCTAGGTTGAGACATAGCTGCCCATGTGGCTTTGTCCTTCCATAGTCTTCTCCCTCAGTATAAAGACCTTCTTTCTATTTTTTATAAATTTGGTTAGTGCCATCTGCTTAAACAGAATCTATGTTGCCATGATGCTATGATGAGTTAATCTTTATGGCATAACGGTATTATTTGAGGGGCTTGTGGTAGGTTGCAGGAGGATACAATGACTCTGATGAAAAGAGCAAAGTCCCTTAATGGCAATCCTTATTTTTGTTTACAAAAATACAGTACTGCCAAAATTAAATATTTTGCCAATGGATTTCAGCAGTGTGGTCTCTTCATCCTATGGGAAGAGTATAAAGGTGCTTTGTGACATTCGTAGGCTATGGGTTCCAACTTTGCTCTATGATGAGGATAAGGGGGAAATGTCTATACTGAGGCCAGGAGGCACGCAAGGCAAAGTTCCCAATGGGAAAATAGCTGCCCAAAGTTTTGCAGCGCTGGAGCTGCAAATGAAAGATCATATTTTCAGTAATTCTATTCTGGTAACTGAGCCACAAATAAATCAGCTCATCTACCAAGACAAAGACATGAGATTGCATAGTTTAATGCTACATCTTGAGCACCGTGGAAGAGCTTTATTTTCATATATAACCCAGAAAGAAAGTTGTTCCTAACCTTTCCATGTACTGTCTCCAGGTAACATTTTCCCATGAAGCCCTGGGACCTCTGTTGCTGGTTGCTTTCAATGACAACATTATTATTTGGGGTGACATTATTATTGTAATGGGAGGACACTGGAAGCTGGGGTATTTGTACACTTTCCACACTGTTCTCTTCTGATTCCTCTGAGTCACTCTTTACTCTAGCCACCTGATGAATCTGCACGGTGGCTTCTGGGGGATGGTTAATATGCACATTCACCAAGGAGGGGTATATTGAAGCTGAAAGAAAATGTTGAAAATTATCATTAGAAACTTGACTTTTCTTTCTATTACAAGCCATCATTAAAAAGTAACTAAAATGACTGGTATCATTCAAAGAACAATTTTAGCATACATTCTATCCTCAGAAAGCCACAGTGTTTTTCAAATCAAACAGTACGTGCCTCTCCCTGAAAAAAAAAGCAATAATCACATAAGGATCACAATATATAAGCAAGTGAAATAACATCTGGTTTATAATGAAGCCCAAAGGAAACAACAACAAATGGTGACTGTCACAACTGATAAATAACCATCAGGGCAACGTATTGTAGTGATTACATACAGATCAACAATTCTGAGAGTTGCAACACATCTGGAAAGTGACATTTTGGGGGAGACTGCTATAAATTACAGCCCATATAACTGGAGCTGGGTTAGATGGATGTTCTGATTTGCAATGCAGATGACTTTTTATACAGTTATGGAGTCTCCAAATTATGCTGTCATTCTATGTGAAGCTAATCAATCTAACTCCTCTGAATGTGATATGTCATTTAATTCCATGAGACACTAGTGTTCAACATCAGCAATGAGGTTTGCTTTTCCTCCTTGATTCTCCCTCTACATCTGATCCTAACAGACGAGCATCCCCACATGCTGTATTTAATTTAGCTTGAAGCACTTCCAGAATGCTCAGAACAAACCGTTTCAAATCTGAAACAACTGTTTTGAATTTGAAATGTCTTGTACAATCCTGCTTTTTATATGCCAGACTTCTGGAATTCAGGTATTAAAGAAAAACACTGCACACAGTCATGAAAGAAAAACATCACACACAGCCATATGTACTTTCCCAAAAAATCTCTGTTCCAGAATTTCAACTACAATTTCAAATGATTTTGTTTATGTGGGTGAGAAAACCATTTTATGTGCATATATTCATAAATTGCTAGGCAGGAGAATGGAGTGCACAGGTAAGAAAAGAAGACAGGTGCAGATAAACAATGTGTTTAACAACCCAATATTTATTTAGTTATTTATCTTTTCTACATTTAAGTGACTCTGGGCAGTTTATATTCATAATGTGGGTGATATAAAGCACAACAATAAAACATAGAAACAAAATGAACACTATTGGGGAATTGCTATTCCCCAAATAACGGAGACCAAGGAAGCAGTGCCAGTTTGAAATAAAGAAAAGAATTTACATTTTGACACGTCTTGGCTTATTGAAATAGATGACTTCCAAGATAGATATTTTTTGTAATTTGTTTAAAGACTATTAAGTGACGGAGGGGGGGGGGGGAGAGGCAGACAGACAGACAGACTCCCCTACTTATGAATGGGTTTCATTCCAAGAGGCTGTTCATAGGTTCATTTTGCAGTATTCCCTCTGGCTTCCTCCCAAACCTCCCACCTCTTCTTCCACCTAACAGGCACATCTGATATATTAACCAGCTTCATTTATTGTTTTGCCTTGATCTTGTAACTGGTCCAGCTCATTCCTCATTGTTCATACCTATTACAGCTTGAGGTAATTCTGCTGGGCATTTGACCTGGGCTGGCTATCTCTTCCTAAGGCAGATCTGCATGTCCAAAAGGGGAAGGAGCATTGATCTCTACTCCCAGAGATAAGTTGATCTCTGCTCATCCTGCAGGATGGGCCTATCACACACGCAAGGGCCAAATTGATTAATAGTGTATAAAGGCAGATATCTCTTTAATGGTTTTTACACTCTGACAATGTTAGCAGAGGCTAACAAAAGCTAAGTGAGCAATATATTTTAAGTTTCGGAGATTGCAATAAGCAGATGTCTGCACAGTAGCAAAAGCAGAATTTAGACATCTTATATCAAGAATCTTAGACAGGGGACCACTATGACTAACCTAAGAAGTGAGAAGTCGTGCAATTAATGCTTACCAAGTTGATTGGACAGAGGAAGGGTATACATAGAATGCTTCACAGAGCTGCTTGCCAGGCTATTTGGAATTCGTTTCCTTTCTGCTTTTAAAACTGGTAGATGGCAAAACTTCCCTGTAGAGTTAGATGGGCACCAACATTCATCCCTGCCCACACAACGCCCTCCATTTAAACATGGAATCTGGCAGAAATCTGTAAAGAAAATAAATTGAATGCATTGAGGAAAAAGTACGGATGTTTGCTTCAAAGACAGATGAGCCGGGAGCTGTGTTATTGGGAAATAATAGACATAGCCTATGCATGCACCTCAGTATCTCCACATTCACTCACTCCCACCTTGAAAGGATATTAGAGGAATTGAATTACCAACCTGGCCTTACATCTAATGAGTATGGAAAATCTTCTCCCCTGTGTTAACAAACTGAATTATATCATATCTGCTGTAGAGAGGGTTATAAATATAGAATAAAATAATTGAAAGGTAATTGAATATACAATATAACCAATGTTAGTTTTATTGTCCAATTTATACACTCACTGAAATCAAAATGAGAGAAGTGAGAGAAACTGTAAACTGCCCAGAGTTGTTTCTAGGTGAGATAAGAAGCAAATAAATAAATAAATAAACAAACAAACAAACAAACAAACAAACAAACAATAAAAGACAGTTACAGAAAGCACGTATTGGGCTCCTTTTATTCTAAGACCTTATGTAAGGTAAACTTTCCATAAGCTAAGAAGGTCAGTGCAGCCTTCTGATGCACTCCCTAATGCAACATAGGTACTATGGCATGCTGGCTGAGGGAATTCTGGGAGTTGGAATAACACCTGTTAAAGTTGTGGGGGTTGTGAATATCAGAATACTGATATTTTTATAAAAAGAGTAGGAGAACGGCAATAAAGGATAACATAGACTGGCCTATTATTTCCAAGAAGTAGGACGGCTCTCACATAAAATTGTTTCTTTTCTGCTTCTGTAGATAATAAGTGGGAAAATAAGAGGTTACACATTTGGGAAGACTCACAAATACGGAAACCAGATTTGGGGTCGTGGTCATGTCCGCTCTGGCTATATAGGGTGGTAGTGTCTCCTTTCTCACAATTATTATAGCAGTGGCCATTGTGACACGTTTGTTTACAGACTGTCGGAGTGAACACTATTTTTATCTTCCTGATTTTTTCTGTCAGGTTAGCTCCTGCAAGAGAAAGAAGAGACACATCGCAGAATAAAATATTATGTCTAAGCAACTTGTTTTGGGGACTGGCATGCAGCATATTAACTTTTCTGGTTATACTGTATGTTATAATTCTCTCAGATTCAAGCAAATTAAACATTACTTTATTGTGTGGCCTGAAGGTTAAGCAATGTTTATTATTCCTCAAAAGTAAACCTGGAGAACTAAATATAACCTTAGCAGGGCAGTCAGGAATGGCTTTTATTCTTAATTCCCTGCTGCAATGACAAGACAACCCAAGTAGGAAGACTGGCCACCTCAATAGGAGAAATTGCTTCCTATTTAAATTGCAGAATCCCACTTATTCCAAATTAGGATTATAGAAGGGGCAATATTTTTTTCTACATAGTATTTTTAAATGAACTCTCATATTAATAAACTTTAAAAGGGCAATTTTTATAGGAATCATATAGAACAAAAGTCTGTATCAGACAACAGGATTTGTGGCTTACATGAACGAACAGAACATGATTGAAAGATTTAATCAGATAAGAGTTGAAAAAGATCCAGATAAAAGCACGCTTGAAAATGTGCATGTTTAAAAGCTAATATATTTCTTTTCCCTTTATTTTTTGTCTCCCGTCCCCATTTTTATGGGCGATGAGAGGAGACCAAGAATTATATTCTCAGAAGATGTGCTTTGTTATAATAATAATAATAATCTACAATGGCAATGCCACTTTTTCCACCTGTCTCAACAAACATGACTAGGTTGTTCCTTTACTCCTCCAACCAAGAAAAGAGGAAGTTAAAGCCAGAACAATCGACTAAGATTAAGGGAGAGCAATGCAGCAGAAAACAATGAAGAGAAGGGAAGTTTTGTTCATTGTTCAATTCAATTCAGACTGAGAAAGAAGAGGCTGATATAGTGCAGGGAAGACAATAGACAGATTGTCACAGGAATAGAATGTAAAACCTAGTCCATTCAATAGCAAGAAGAGAGAGGGAAAATCTAAAATGTTTGGTGGCATATTGGTGGACAGGGGTGATGGATTAAGGGTTAATATGTTCCTGTGGAAAAATCTATTCTTTTTTAACAATTTAGAATTGATTAAAAAGAACATTCCCTGTGAACATATACAAAGAACGTTCTTGTTTCTTCTCAGTACTCATCACATTAACTTCACACATTTAGGAATGAGGAGAAAGAAAAAGTTGGATAACTCCAGACTTCAAGAACTTAAGCTCCAAGATGCTCCCTGGGTTTGTCTGCCAGAACAGATTTCATTTTCCACAGGAACATTCTGTTCTACCCCAAATTTTTAGAAATTTCCAGAGTAAATGAGAGTGAAGAAGGCAAATTAGATGGAAAACAAAGAAAGTTTTGTTTACATGAAAGAGAAACCTGCCTGTGTGATACTAAAAGCTACCCTCTATAAAGTAATAATGAATTGGTCTGGAGATTGAATTTTCATCTGAGTAAAAGTGGAAATAAAACAATATATGCTTTCTTTTTCAGACAGCATAATTCAGCTAAGAGAAACAGGAAAGTAATTAAGGGTAACAAGGTATAGGCAGCACCATTATCTCAGTCTCACATACCTAAAAAAATCACTAATGATGTAAAGTCTTATTCATTATAGACTTGGAGGAAATGCTGGCTATGAAATCTCAATATGTCTACACCCAGTGTAATAAAGGCCCACTTCTCCTAAATCCCGCATCCAGGACCTTTTGTCTGTAACTAAATAAAAAGAACATGTGATTACTCAGATCTTACCCCAGGGAGACAAAACAGGTTCCTGATATACCATTCGTGGCCCAGTTCTACTCTGTTCAAATCCATTCCCATTGGGAACTATATTGGAAGTTAGATGATCATGATTTACAGCTGGGTAGCGTCGGACTGTGCGGGATGATCCAGTATATGACTGAGAAGTAACAAGGGAGCTGCTTCTGTTCTGAACCCTGTGAAGATGAAAGCTAAGTTAATATTTGTGCTGAATGTTATGTACCCATTGAAAGTCTTCCTTGTTTATGAGGTTAAAGCTTGCCTGTAGAGAGAAAGGTAAAAAACTGAGAGCGGTAAGCCAAGAGCTCTTTTAATATGCTTTTGAGAATAACAACTGTTCGACTCTTCCCATTAACTTAAATAGCCACACTTCCATAATTTCAAAGTAAAATAAATGTTTTTGGACAAGCACCTCTCCACGTATCAGAGGTTAAATAATTAAGAAATATTTTCCTCATCGATCATTGGCACCTTATGTACTAATAAAGAAAATAGTGCCTTCTGATTTGTGAACACCAGATGTGGAATATTCTCCACTTTCCTATAACTAGTGCCAACATTATTGACAATTCAGTGACAGCTCCAATTTTTTCCCCCTTGGGCATTTAAATTCATTGTATTTATCCACTCTACTGTATTTCTCTCTGTTTTTTATTATTTTTATATTATGATAGAGCTTTTTATTGCATCAACGTATTATTTTAATTGTATTTGTAGATTATTCCAATATTGCAAAGCGTGAATGAATATAGTTCATCTGTTAACTTATTGATCATACTCTTCTTTCTTTTTCTGTTGTATTATTACATGTCTGTTGGATTATAGATAATTATTTAAAACCATAGACTATCCTTATACGTCATCTTCTGAAACACAAGCAAACTTCTTAGCAAAATTACTTCTATTATCATTCCATTCTTCCTTTATAGAGAAGTTGCCTTCGGAGAATTTAGTCCCCCGTGAATAGTAATTTTTCCCTAAGAGAATGGCAGATTACAAAAAATATACAAAAATTGCTAGGTAGTGAGAATCACTTTCTGTTGCTTTGTTTTGAGCAATGCATAACCAGAACAGATCCTAATTTGGCATATTACCATGCAGCCATTTCAAAACTCTTTGCCAAAAGCACTGATTATTCTGGGCTCAAAAAACAAAACAAACCACTTAAACAAAAAACAAATACCGATCACCAGCGGCAATCATGCAAGTCAAATTAAATGGATTGGCTTTGAGTATAAGAGGGTCACTACGTCTGTGCAAGGGGTAACATTCACAAGGAAAATTCCATTGTTCCTCAATTCTCTCATCTGTTTCCAAACATGAGCGATCCCTTCAGAGTTGGCTCATCCTATATGAATTTGGAGTAGATTCTCTTTTCTGATTATGGCACTAATCACTAAAGAAATATAGCCAAGAAATGGTCCCAGCCAAAGAAATAAAACAGTATATACCATCCATAAAAGTGATCAGTGAAAGAAGCCTTACAATGAATGAATACCCATTAGCAAATTTGTCTTACTTAGGATTTTCTAAAAACTATTTAGTTTTTTGTGACAGGTGAGCCACAACAATGAATCATATCTTCTCCACTCTCAAGGCCCAGTGCTTCAATGCCTATTAATGCATGCTGGCTGTCACAGCAGATTCTTACAAAGCAGTTTGTTTCGACTTACTCATGCTAAGCCTCTTTCTTTCTTAAGTTTTTCAACTCTATTTGGTCCTGCTGGGTCCTCTTTCCTCTGCTAGAGAACAGTGCCAAGATTTCCAGACTGCTTTGTTTCTAAATACCTCAACTACCCTCTTATTTTCAAGTAAAGCAGTAGTTAGTACTGGAATTTCCAAAGAAGCCAAAATTTAATGAGATTAAGCAGATTTCATGCAAGATAAACAAGCCCCCCAGGGAGCAAGATACTTTACAGAGTTCCTTATTTAATGGCACCTTTATATTCATTGAGCCAAAGTTCTTTTCCTCTACATATACCTTCCAGGTATCAAATCCAGTTCTGATCTACATCTAAAAGAATTTCAAAAGTGGAACTAAGGTTTGAAGAACTACTTGTAATACTATTTCGACTCATTATTTATTGGAAAATTACACTGATCATTTTAATCTAACGGTTTGAAACAGAATTAGATAAATCTTGCTTATATTTTAGGGACCATTCAAAAAGAATTCTCAAGACATTTACATTAATAAGCTATAATTTCCTGATTGTTCATTCAGTAATTAAATAATAATGTGAATTCATTCCTCAACTTGATTTCCCTGGCAACATGACTCCTCTGCAAAGGAATAAGTATAATAAATTGAAATGTGAATTAGATGTTTGATCATCCACATAGCCTCTTCTCTCTTCCCTTTGAAGTATGAGCAAGCAAGACATTATATTTTTAATTAATCATAGCATTCTATATCATTCATATCAGACATTTATACTTTGGAGCTTCAGAACAGGCCAGAATATTTAAAGTATGGTTTGGAGTTGATGTAATATCTTAATCCATTCTGTAACTTGTAAGCATAGTTTCCAATTTCATTGGAAACTGGGAAACTATGGGAAGTAGAGGTGTTCTGCTACAAGCAGAGAATTTATAGGAATTTTAATCTATACTTCTGGGGGAAATGCCTACATTAGGGAAATCACATGTTATGATATTCACACAGTGTGCTAACCTCTAACTTACTTTCGCTTTGACATAAGGTGCTGCGTGAATTCAACAAAACATCATTAAAGCAAGCCATGGTGTATATGAGACCCTCTACTGTCAATCAGTCCTTATCATTAGGAGTTTTCTTCTAATTTTAACTCAAACTTACTGTTTTTAGCAGTTTCCATCCACTGTTTTATTTACTTTATCTTCTATATAACAGCTGCTAAGATAGCTAAGAGTAGACAATTATCATTTCTCACCATCTGTTTTCCAAGCTAAACATGTCCAATCTTTTCAAAAATTCCTCAAGGAATTGGTTTCCAGATACTTTAACACCCTGGGATGTCACTTTTTGATATTTCTATTTTGCCTACATCCCTCTTAAAGGATCAGAGAAACATATTGCCATCAGAGAAACTTATTTCCAATTTTCTCAATAAAGTCAAGAATTGGGAATCTCCCTAGGATCAATACTGTGAGACATCAGTGCTTAAATATGAACTCTATCATTTGCAGTAAAACTTTGTCTGGGATGTCAATAATCATTATTATGTATTTTTAAAATACACAATGTATTTTTAAAATGTGTTGCTCATTTCTCATTAGAACCATACTCCCAAAATGCACTGCAAAACTACTACAGCATAATTTACATTACAGAATATTAAATGCATAAACTACCAACAAATCAACCTAGAAAGCTTTATAACATTAAAATATTTTAATGAGAACTACAACTGGAAACATAGCAGTATATATTCAGTTAAAACAAATAAGATTTTAGCTGGTTTCAGAATTTATAAGGTTTGTAAAAAGAAAGTGGAAATTCCAGAGTTATGCACCAGTACTGAGGTTGTTGTCTCTCAGATACTCACATAATTAATTACTTCGCTGGTGCTTGTTCCTCTCCTACTGATGCTACTTACATTGTTACATTACTTCTCTTTTACAAGAAGTGCTGGCAGTAACTCAAGAATTTACAGTGCATTACTGGATATAATTTTTTGAGATCGTTTCCACAGGTAACAAATATAAAGAAATGGCTTTACTTAAACATCCACAAGCATGAACTATAGCTGATCCTTTCATAATAGTTTTTTTGCAATTGTTTTCAATTTTTGTTTTAGGAAGTACAACTTAATATGGAGAACATGTCAGCTCTAGATTTAAACTTCTCAGATCAGAGCTATATGTAAAATCAGCCCTACCACCTAAACAAGATTCAGCACTGAAGAAGAAAAATGTCTAGGTTTTTTGTTTTGCATTTCAATGAAATATTTATTCTATCAGGAACTCCAAAATAATTTTCCGATGGTTAATTTGACTAAAAGTTCACAAACAGTAGAGTACACGAGCCAAAGTTATATTGAGAAACCTCTGCCTTGTTCTCCAAAGTACAAATTGTTCTTGGATTATCTTCTTCCATTGTTTATTTTATAGACTGAACATAAACATAATTTTCTCCCTTTTAAAAAATCTTTCCATAAATCTTTCCTACAGATTGCTATAGCACCTATTAGAGAACTCTAATAGGAATCAGAAAAACCTCTTTTAAATATGCACATATAAAATAATGGCATCCAATCTAGTGATATCATCTTTTCCTGAGATAAACTAAATTATATTAATTGCAAAATATTCTTACCTCATCATGCACTTCTACATGGATGCAACTTTGAAATTCTTTTTTTTTTAAATTTAAAGTTTGGGTGATAAAGTTAGGTGCGACATTATTATGAGAAAGCCTAGAATTGTATGGCAGTGTACAGATAGAGCTAAAGTGAATAGTAAATTGGCAGCACTTCCTCTTTGAATTGAAATATATGTTATCTGTTACTTATGAGTCTGGTTACCATACTTTAATGGTAAAGAGATATTTATTACTTGCAAATTTCTCCAAAATTAAGTTGGCATCTCCAGTTAAAAGAATTTTAAACACTGAAAAGAACTCATTCAATTCAAGCTATCATATAGAATGAATAAATATATACATAGCCTTCAAATCAGTTTTGACCAGTGACGTGTGGTGAGGTTTATGGCGGGTGAGGCAGTCCTCTCCACCGACACCCCACTGACTAAAGCATTTTCTTTCGCCCGCCTGTGCTCGCGGCAAAGCTCAGGCAGGTGAAAGAAAGCGCTTTAGTCAGTGGGTGTCGGGGGAGAGGAGAGAATGCCTGAGCATTGCCGCAAAAGAAAGAAAGTGGCTTTTGCCCACCCCGCCGCTATGTCAGATATAGAGGCATCCCGCCTCTATAGCCACTTTCTTTCTTTTGCCCAAAGGCTGCAGTCCGCCTGAGGGGCCCGCCTCTGGGCAAAAAAAAGAAAGCGCCAGCCCACCAGCAGAGGTGGGTAAAAGACTCGCCTCTGCTGGCGGGCTGCCCCGACACAGAGAAAGAAAACTGATGGGCTGTCCTCCCTGCCTCTCCTACCCCCTTCCCTCTCTTCTCAAACAAACTCTTTCTCAAATTGAGAGTTTGTTTGAGTGAAGAAACAAACACACACACAAACACACACACACACACAC